TGACTAGGCTGGTCCCCACCCCAATTCCTGGCTTAAAGCAATCCTCCTGCTTTAGCCTACCAAAATGCTGGGATTATAGGCCTGGGCCACCCTGCCCAGCCAATGTTATGGGATAGGTCACTATTGTGTATGTGGTCCAGCAATGGTTACAACATTATCATGTCGTAAGTACATGATTGTATCAATAATAACAAACACAGTTTACTGACTACTGCGATTATTTTACTCAATCCTTGCAACCCCTTAATTTTTTTTTTTTTTTTTGGTGACAGAGTCTCACTTTGTAGCCCTGGGTAGAGCACTGTGGTGTCATAGCTTATAGCAACGTCAAAGTCTTGGGCTTAAGTGATCCCCTTGCCTCAGCCTCCCAAGTAGCTGGGACTACAGGGGCCAGCCACACCACCAGCTATTTTTAGAGATGGGGTCTTACTCTTGCTCAGGCTGGTCTCAAACTCCTGAACTCAAGGAATCCACCCTCTTCAGCCTCCTAGAGTGCTGAGATTACAGGTGTGAGTTACCATGCCCAGCCTGAGATTTTATTCATTGGGCCCATTCTACAGCTAAGGAAAACCGAAGCCAAAACAGGTCAAACTATATCCCAAGATCAATCACACAGTTCAAAAAATGAGAAAGCATTATCATTTTGAGGGACTTGGGAGAGAGAGAAAAGTGAGAAAGGGAGAAAGGAAAGGAAGGGGACAGCAAGATGAATCCTGGCAAACTACCTCAAACTTCTAGCTCTTACCCACTCTATCATACTGTTTCCTAATTACAAAACACTGAAGCTCAATCCTGGGCAATCACAGAGCTGACTAAATATAAAAAGTGTAATCATTCTGACCTCAGACCATAAACAGAATTTGGTGCATTAAGTCCATTTTTGTTACACAATGTGAAATTCCTTTCAGTGCTTATGGCCCATGTTGAGAAGGCTGGGCAATGGGTCAAGGCTGCAGTTCGCTGTGGCATGGGCACATCATGAGAGGCCCACACTGAAGGGACTGCAATGAACCCTTTACCATACTTATATGGTCTCGCCCTTGCCTCCAAGGCTGGTACATAATCCACCCAATGAGCTAGAAATCCACTCTTTTCCTTAAATTCCAGTTTCTTACACGAATTATAGAAAAATAAATAAATGAGAAAAAAAGAAATTATGAAAGAAACATACCAACATTTTTGTTTGAGATCTCACTATGTCACCCTCAGTAGAGTGCCATGGAGTTACAGTTCACAGCAACCTCAAACTCTTGGGCTTAAGCGATTCTCTTGCCTCAGCCTCCCAAGTAGCTGGGACTACAGGCGCCCACCACAATGCC